ACAGCGTATGTGGACCCAAGATAGACAGCAAGACGACGTGCGCACAAAGCTTTAGCTTGTCGTGTATAGAGGCATTAACAGGCTGAATTGGACAAATTGACATGAATCCGATCTTCAAATTCACTTCAGTGAATTAACCTTTGCAGTGATCAGAAACCTTGGATCATTTTTATTTCTTCAACATAAAAATGTTTTTCCACCCCTTTCATAGTTAAGACAAAATGATCTCAGAGCAGTGACGGTAGAGCCAGCTGGTGTCCCATCAGTTTAATATCAGTCCATGTGCACGCGCAAACAACCAGGAAAAAGCTGCTGGCTCGTCATCTTCATTAGCTCAAGCTAGCAGGACATGGATACACATCGGAAATGGAGACCTTATGCAGTAGGATCCACGGAGACCAGAGCTATAAGCAACAATACTAACTGCAACCACAAGATGGCTGTAATCTCAAGAGGCAAACAAGCAGGTAGCTTTATGGAGCAGTCTGAGGTGAAAGTTGATTTTGTTTTACGATTTCACTAGAAACACACTGCTCTCCTCGGTGTCCTGACAGAATGCCTCGATGTAAAAACCCTCTTTTAATTTGAAGAACTAATAAGGAACTGAACTTAAATAGCACTGTGAGTTTATTATTGTTTATTATTTGTGTTATTAGCCTGGATCTACTGGCACTGTTGTAATCATCAGGTGGGAATGTATGTCTCATATTGTTTTTACATTCTACAAAAAGGAAAACAGCATATTATTGGATTTGTCTTCTGTGAAACTGATGCATAAATTTCAATAAAAATATCTGGAAAAAAGAACATTCATGTGATTTCTTCTTCACCAGCCTGTGAACTTTGAGTCGCATACAAACTCTATTTCATGTTGCTGCTTCTTTTATTTAAGGAACATTTATAAATTGCAAGCTATAATCTCCTCTGAACATTTGTGCTTATATTACTCCACTGCCTTTTTATAAGCTTAGACGAATCATCCCTGTTACACCAAGCAAGCAATGCAAAGTGCTGCAGCCAGACTTTTAACTCACTCTAGCAAGTGAGCTCACATTACCTCTATTTTACTTTCTTTAAATTGGCTTGTTTGTTTTAAAATTCCTACCCTTACATAAAGAGCGCAAAATCCACAAACTCCAGAATAATTTTCTCAATTTCTTGTTAAAAATTCATCTGCCATTCTTTGCTCAGTTGCTCTCTTCCTGAGTCGGTTGCAGGTGATACATTTATGGATAATCTGATACGTAATTCATTATCCAACTCGGGGTCCACAAAGTCATAGGTTTCAGTTTCTGTTGTAACAAGAAAGCAGGTCCCTTGAGCCAGGCACTGTCACCACGGCAACAGTCGCAGAGCGTGTGCCTAGGTCAGCAGTGTTAGAGCTTGTAAAAACACAGTGCCATTGTTTTGGTTGTGAAATCTGATTCGCTGCTCGTGTTAGTGAGATATACATGGAACCGCTTTGTCTGGTTACTTGTTGACACGTGAACCTTCATGCGATGCTCACAGAAGTCGTTGGCAGGATCGTTGTCTTCAAGTCAGAGGAAGTGCAAATAGTTTCAATGGTCCTCTCTAACAATGAAACTGTGAAACATCCGTCTATGTCTGCGGTTACTGCAACAGTTTCACATCTGAACCTCAACAATACTTCCAA